TTGTCAAGGATAGTTGTGGATAAAAGTTCAAACGTGACCAGAAATGTGCCTGTGTGTTGAGTTTAATGGTATTTAAAACTATATGCCTGCTTTGTATGATTCCACAGAACTTAGTTTGCATTGATTATTGATTATTCTAACAATTATTGACCATTTAGCCCAACATGACATAAACAAGGATAAAGAAAAGGTGTTCATTTAGCAGTCATGCTAATATCCACACAAATACTGTAGTATTATTGCAGTGTTACTAATCACAATCAATTTTTATGGTAGAAAGAGCAAAACTTTCTGTCCCTTCTGTACTTTCTCATATTGGCATCTTCTCCCAGCGGCTGTTAATTGATCGTTATAATCGACCCCGGTCTTCACAAAGACCTTTTGGGACTTCACCAGAACAATGTGTGAAACAGAAATACAAAAAAATGTCTTTTTCAGCTTGGCGGTGAAGACCAAAAGGTGCCTGGAAGATCCATTTTATCTGACTGTGTCCAGGCTGCAGCCGCTGCATCAATCACAACATTCCTGCCGTCAATATAAATGCAAATCATACGGCCTGGTAGGGCTGTGTGGATTATGACTTCGCAGAGGACTGTAAAATGATGCTGTGAAATGTCACTGGCTCATTAAGTCCGGGCGATTGCCAAGACTGGAACGACGATGAGCTGACTCTTCTGCGCACTGTGAAGAGCAACGATACTTTGGGGCCTGTTTTAAAAAACGGACAGAGCCGTGACTGTTGCACTCAGCAGCAGCTGCATGATGCGTGAAATCACCTCCACCTGCCCAGAAGAACCATGTGAGCTTCTGTCATTTGATTCAATGATCACATACATACCTAGCTTTGATACGATCCCATCCGCTGCATCTGTACTTGTGTTTCATGATAATTAGTGAACATGCATGAAGTGGACAAACACACAAACAGATGGATGCCTCTTTTCAGCACTTTATCTCGAGGTGGCTAAACTCCAGCTCCATTCAAGCTGCACATTTGAATTAAACTGCTTTCTCCACTCCACAGATAATTACCCCCATTGTTCTATTGATTCATCGGCACCTGAAAAATCGCTTTAATGTTTTACCCCATGGTATTTTGCAGCGGTACCATCCCTCTACCTCCTGTGTTACATAAAGTTCTTGAATGATTGTGTGGGCGCTGGTTCAAACTCCAGAAAAAACAAAAGGTCCACCTGTTTGGACTCCAGCTGCTGCCTCACGGAGCTGTTCTGCCACGTTACAACTTATTTCTCAAATATAATATAGAAGTACAGTTCTTGTTATTCATTAATTCCAGGCTTTCCTTCACCGTCATTCCCCACAGAGGTTTCAGTGGCACAGCGGCTGTCCTCATCTGTTTTGCAAACTAATTCAGGGCTATCAGCAGCCAGGCCTATTAATTAGTCAATCGGTCGGGAGCAGAGGGAGTTTCTCCCAGCGAGGTCACTGCGTGCGGTGTCCGTTATTCTCGTCTCTCACTCAGGTGCAGGTAAACCTCTCACTGTCGGGTCGTTCTCATTCAAAATAATAGTGATTCACTTTAGAAATGAAGTAAAATAACGAGTGCATCTCAGGGTTTTAATGCAGCTGCTGGAGAATTCATCAGTTTAGATTAATGTCCCTCCAGCCTTATATGTGTCGAGCAGACCGAAAATTAATTAAACCAAAAGTAATTAAGTGTTAAGAGTTCAATTGAAATATGAACAAAAACATGTATTGTGAGGTCAGTGAACTTTGACCTCCAGATTCTAGTCTTTAGTATTTTATCTTGTTTTTATCTGTGGTTTTCCTGATGAAGCTAAAACTGTTTTATTTCTTCCATTAATTATTTTCATTGTTTTGAAAGCATAGGCCACATTGTACATGAATATGCTGCCCTCTGCTGGAATATTATACAAATACAGTTTTGACAACAGGCAGACCTGAGATTCGGTTGAAGAACAGCAGTGCACTGAATCCACAATTGCTTTCAGACTAAAGTTCAAATATTCTCCTGAAATATTACAGAGGAGCTGGATGAGGCAAACATCCAGGTCGATTGCACTGGAACTTTTACTAGACAATCTCCTGCTACGTTCTTCTTATGTCTGGACCCAATTATTCTGATATTTTCCAGAGGATTCTGAAAAACGTATAAAGCACCTACTCTAACAAGATAACTTGTTAATTCTTAAACTAATCTAAAAATCCTGAGTCACATGAACACAATCTCCCCACATCTCACTTCAAACTCTAGTCTAGCATATGGAGACTGTGCTGTTAAAACCAGGGTCTGCTGCAGAAAAAGACATTGCAAATCAAAGATCACATAAAGTCTGAGACTAAGCAGGTGACATTGTCATATTAAGCATTGGGAAGCAGAGAATGTCTGTCTGGAGCAAACACTGGGAATCTTTGAAAGGAATGACTTTCAGCTCATTTTTGTGAAAGTCTTCAGGGACAGAAACAGACAAGACAGGGGCCAAGAAAAGAGACAACGATGTTCTGTTTATATGGGTCAATAAAAATGTTCTAGCTTTAGGCCATGGACAACTTGTGGGATCCTTTTCATCAAAAGTCAAATAAAACCACAGCTAAGTTTGTGAGCGGTGTAAGTTTCCAAATTTCACTCTCTCTTTAAATACAGAAATCCTTAATGCCAACACGGTCAGTTCTCCATCATTTGGCCTCATCCCTCACGTTCTTATCATCAATCACCTGCAGTCACAATCAGCCAGATGCACGACTGAACAGCACAGGGAGCAGAGAACATTAAGCTACGCGACGACTCTCATCTCTACGGCAACAACAAAGTCAAAGGAACTTCAAGAAAGGAAAACAAGTGTTGTTTGTGGGTAATGCATGTTTCACATTAGAAAAGAAAATGTATTGAAAGACATTTAACTGTGACTGACTTAGCAGAATTAATATTACAGGATGATAGAACCAGCCAGACTCATTCAAAATGTTTGTGCTGCTCTCTGCTGGCCTGGATTTATAATTACAACCAAAATCTCTCTCACTTAGATTTTTATGGAAAGAAAAATAAAAACATTTGAAATGTTAAAATAGAGCTGATTTTTTACTAATGATAGATTCAAGATTCAATGAATAAAATTCCGTCCTTCTCCTGC